CCCACCCACAACCAACCCCCCGGCCGATGCCGCACGCCCAGGGCGATGCTGGGGCAGGCGACCCGTCGCCCGCCGGGTTGGGCTCTCCTGTCCCCGCCAGCCGCCGTTGCTGTCTGTACTCCCCGCTCCACCACCCTGCCACCTACCCAGCCTGCTGCTGCCAGCGGGCTTCCGAAGGAGGGATTGTATACCTGCTTGCCATCGAAAAACATATTGGCTGCATCTCAGGAAGATCAGCTTCACGTTTTGTCGCATCGATGTAACCCTTTGTAAGCTCACTTGAGAGATAAACATTTGCAGGTGTGTAATTTTTCTTTAAAAATCAATTTATCTTATCCACTTGCCAACCCAAGGGTGCAAATTATTTAATAGCCTCCCAGGATGAACAGCAGCGCCTAATACGCTCGTCATTACCGGCAATACCTGTCACGCTAAGCAGAGGATGCTAAGAGGTGTTAACGTGCCCTGAGAAGCCCTTGGACAAGAAATCAATTCTCGGGTTTTCCTCTAGCTCCGCTGCATTTCCCGGCTCTTCCTTCCCTTTCCGTGTGCTCTGGGAAGCCCTGGGCTCCCAGGTATAAGCTCCCGATGCCTTTCTGCCGTCAGGCTCCTCGAGCAGCCGGCTCTCAGCAGCCCGGCTGTAGCCATCTCCTTTGCACCGTTACAGCAGCGGCAGCGGGCTCGCAGAAGGCGCTGGGTGCCCGGAGGCATTAGCTGGAGCAAGCGGCATGGCCCGTCCTCGCTGCTTTGGGGGAATTAAAGCTGGAAACGGCCCTGGGGAGCGGGCACGGTCCTGGGGCTGCCAGCCAGAACAGAAGCAGCGTGCACGTCCCGTGCTGGGAACACCCCACATCCCACGCCGGGAGCACCCCACATCCCACACCAGGAGCATCCCACGTCCCATGCCGGGAGCACCCCACGTCCCACACTGGGAGCATCCCACATCCCACACCGGGAGCACCCCACGTCCCACACTAGGAGCACCCCACATCATGCACCGGGAGCACCCCTCATCCCACAGCGGGAGCACCCCACATCCCAAACTGGGAGCATCCCTTGTCCTGCACCGGGAGCACCCCACGTCCTGCACTGGGAGCACCCCACGTCCCAAATCAGGAGCACCCCATGTCATGCACCGGGAGCACCCCTCATCCCACACCGGGAGCACCCCACGTCCTGCACTGGGAGCACCCCACGTCCCAAATCAGGAGCACCCCACATCCTGCACCGGGAGCACCCCATGTCCCGCACCAGGAGCACCCCATGTCCCAAACCGGGAGCACCCCACATCCCAAATCAGGAGCACCCCACGTCATGCACCG